AGTTCATCTTCATGTGGCTCACTGAAGCTGACCTTCTCCTTGCCTGGGAGATACCAGCAGCAGATATTACAAGTCCTGATCATCCACTATTCTCCACTGAGGCTTCAGATGGTGTGAATGAATAGATTCATTACTTCAGTGCATCTACAAGCATTCTTATCACCAGAAAATCTTGCTTTCTACTTTCCCTTGAGTTTATTAATAATACAGTGGCTTTAATCTACGCAGTGTTTGTTTCAGTTTTTTTTATATGAGATATGACCTCCGTGGTCCTGGCAAGTCATGAATGTAGCAGTTAACTGACCAAAGCATTGGTGTCTTTGTTCTCTGTCTTTCCCTTTTCATGTCTTGTCCTTTTCCTCTCTTTTCTTTCTTTCCATTGCAAATTGTCCATCTGCCATGATTCACTACCCAAAACTTTTCAATGGACTGCCTTAGCATCCCGCAAAAACCAAGAGCAGGTTCAAAACACCAGAGGCTGGTCTTAAAGGAGGAGCAAAGCTAACAAAATAATTCACACATAAAAACACTTGTGTTAGAGACATTTCAACACTACCAACTTGGTATTTTTATACCTATTTTAGAGAAGGGTAAAGTGATGCAGAGAAAGTATATAGAGGCTTAACTACTATCCTGAAATGGATTTAAGCATGTGTTTGCTTAGTTTATTAATGCAGGTTCAAACTCCCTGTCAGGCCACTGGCTGCCAGCAATATGCAATCTCTTAATCTGGATGTACAGAGTTCTCCAGTGTTTAGCTATCCAGTAGCCAAACAGCTCCCAACAGGTGGATATTCCATTCACCATTACAGGTATTGTACCACATTCTTAACAAAAAATTTGTCTCTGTTCACCAGGATAGTTCAGTCAATGTTTGTAGTAGGTTTGAGACTGAAAACAAAGGCCTAAAAGCTAGAAAAAGAGACTAGGAATTCACAGCACATGCTGTCTGAATTTTGCTCTCCTTACAGTCACTTCTCAGGAAAAAATAAATAAATAAAAATCCTCAATCTGTTTGTTGTTTCAGTTCATTTTAGGGTGACATAAACAGCTTTCAGTTCTTTACATTCTGCACAAGCCTCCAGAAATATTCAGTGTTTACTAGAGCTCAGTGGTGTTAAATCAAGTATGACTATCACCCTTTAAGGCCTAAATGATGGAGCGATATCCATACCAATAACACATTTTGACAGTGTTGACACCTGCTTACACAGAAGCAGTTTACCCACTCTATAAACCTGTAGAAAAGGGCATTAAAATTTAGTAAGAATCCTAGAAATTACCTTTTATTTCCAGAAGTTTGTGATTTCATTCATTCAATCCAGCCTTTTGATGAACTCAGGGGAGTATTCTACAGTGTATCTCATAAAAGACAAATAGCTGGATGGAGAACACGATTAAATCACTCTCTGTCATCCTTTTGGCTGTGTAACTGGAAATGGCTGTGAAACTGGAAATGGGTAGGAAATAATACTAGCTAACTCTGAAGTAAGAATAAGCCCTAAATAAACTCAGCAACTGGAGAGAGCCAAGAACTGCTTCTTCGTTCTTTTTGATCACCTAAAAACTTTCACAGAATTCAAGCATGACCAAAACTTTGTGAAAGCAGGGCATTTTTCTTCAGCTAATGGGTTTTAAGAGCAGAGTCATCAAATGTTGTAGCACTTGTAGTTGCTATTTTATTTTTGTTGGGTGAGTTAAAAAAAAAAAAGAAAAAAACCCCACCATTTCACCTCTAAAGTAGAAAAAAATGTTGTTACAGGTGAAAAAAAAAAAACAACCGTTTCCATTTACTTGAGCAGCCCTTGCTTCTTTAGTATTCAGCTTGACAGCGAGCAACAGCCCCCCACCACCCTCTAATAAAAGCCAAATGCCATAGATTGGAGGAAATATGAGAATTGGCCAAATCTCCGCACTTCGCCTCGCACAGGAGGCTTTCAGCTTTCCATGCTCCCGTCCCAACAGGTCTTTAACGATGTGTTTTCCCAGGAAGCAACAAGCCGGGGAGGTTGCCCGACGAGGGTTGTGGAGGGGGGAGAGGCAGGCGCTGGCGTCGCGGAGGCGGCGTCGCGGAGCTGTCCCTTCAGCACCACGGCTGGAGCTGTCCCTTCAGCACCACCGCCCGCCCCGCCCGGCGCCGCCCGGCAGCGCCGCGCTCCCCAGCTCCGGCGGTAAAGAATGAGTCCCTGCCAGGCTACCGATCGGTGCTGGCTCATGGTCCATGGCCAGCGATAAACGGCTGCGATTAAATTAAAGCCACAGTAGTTTAAATCAAGGCAGTGAAGAGGTAATCGCTTCAGACGTTGCTAGCACGGCAGTCTCAAGGAGAGCAATTAAGTTAGACATAAATTAGTCTGCTATCATATGCATATTGCTAGACTTTGTGGTCCGCTGATTCCTATCATGCTCCTCTGAAAAGGAGTTTTGTGGAGGTAGGTGCACCACTCTAGATCACACAGTGCAGCTTTTTATTCTCTCTCTTTTAAAAATCAGCCTGCAATGGTTAGTTAGATGCACTTTTGCAGGAGCACCTACTGACTACAGCACGTTCACTAATGAATACACCACTGCATGTGCCTCTTGAGGTCTGTCTGGAAGGTTTGAGGGAGAAGGAAATGTATGTGAGACCGTACACACAGTCAAATTAAAAAGAAGAATCAGCACAAAAGATTAATATGAACATTTGAGATCACTGTCCCGTGCAAGAAACACAGAAGAAATTTTATTTTCCTGAGAACTTAAATATCGAAAGTCTTCTTTTTCCCCCTTTGAAGCAAATTCTTTTAGGATAAATAAGAAATTAAACCTTCCATGTTCACTTTCACAGACTACCAGTAGATCAGATAACATCACAAAGCTACTTTAGTACTGAAGAGATGATACACAAAACAGAAGTGCATTTGGCAAGATGCAGATAGTAACTATTAATAAACTTTTGAAAGACAGATCACATATCCTCCTGGAGCAGAGTTTCCCAAATGAACAATCATTAAAGAATGTCTGTCTTTCTGCACCACTCTTTATTATCACTCTTCCTCCCAGTGGTTCCCATTTGCTACACACATTTTAAATTTAAACAATTCTGACATCCCAAAGCGCCTCTGCCTACAGAAATGCACGCTATCCTCTGCACGCTGAGGCGCTCCGAGCTTCCTAAACAAATCCCAGCTCTTTGCAGGAGAAAATGCTAAAGCTTCCAAAGCAATTTGTACTTGTTTCCAGGTAAAATATGATCAAAACAGCAAACTACTGCAAAACAGCCCTTTCTAGCTGTCACTGACCAAGCTTAAGAAAGCAGAAAGTATTGCAGCCACCTCTTAGGCAGGAGTATAAGGGCACCGTGAGTACACGGGCACCGTGAGTACACAGGCGTGTGCATGGAAGCCTTGTTGTAATCCAGAAGGGCATGAGAGTCCATTATTCACTTAGCACAAATAAATGACAAGAGATAGGTCGAGGAAGAGAGAATCAGTGACCAAAGGAGGAAGGAGAGTTATGACATCATAATGAACGGCAGGAAATCTAAGTCATCAGCCAAAGTTACATTCTACTTTATATTCTATAACCTACATGTATTCATTTTATACATATATAGTAACAGAAAAGAGGAGGTTATACCTTAAAAATCTTCTCTTGGTGAGGACAAATAGGCTCTAGACTGTCAGATGGTCTTTCAAAGGAAATTTTTTACTGCCCCAGGTATAATACAGTCAAATACAAACGTAAGCAGACACTGCTCAAAGGGCAGTGGGCAGCACGTTCTGCTGAAAACTGTCAGTATCTTCAGGTGGCAATGTGCAAATTTCTTGTAACAAGCCCTAACTGCTACAAAGATCAAGTCCTTCTGTATTAATAAAAGAGCTAGTCTTTCACATCCTGTTCAATATAACGCACTATCAAACAGCCACTGAGCTAGAGAGGTCTTTTCAGATCTCCCCAGATGTTAGGGGGGATCATCTAGAAGTGCTGGCAGAAGAACATTATCAACTGCCTCGGTAAATCCACCTTAATGAACACAAAACCAGGAAGAACAAACCAGCTCAACAAGCCAAAGCCGGAGTTGCAGCACAGTTCTGCGTGCACTCTGCAGCCTCTAGTTATCCTGGTATTTATTTTTACGGCAGGGAAGCAAACTTTATGTGAAACACTCTGCTTTAGCCGCGGGAAGCAGAGAAGTACAAAATGAGAGCCTGTGGCTGTGTCCACTGGCTGTCCCTCGACTGCCCTGGGAAATGGCATGTCTGGGAAACTGGGCAGCACAGATGTGACAGCGGGCATTGTTTTGCCTGTCGGACCATGTGCCCACAAAGAGGAGACGCAGACTGTGACCTGTTGGCACATCACACACTCCAGCTGCAATAAAAACTTCAGGAACACGTTGCGAATGCCCAGGAGAGGCCCAGCAATGGGACCACGGCTGTGGGAACCCCCACCACAGCCCTTGCCAGCGCCAAAACAAAGTTTGCGTAAGCAGGGCTACACTTGGCTATATCGAGGGCTTTCCCAGCTGATCCCGTTCCCATGCCCTCATCATTTTCATCCTCATCCAGCTGCCTTTTGCCTAAGTTTTCCCCATTTCTCTTGAGCAAAGGTGCAAGGAGAAGCGTGGCAACAGGGCCTCCTTCTTTCTGCGGGGAACCCCAGCAGAGTGTCACCCTGCCTCTTCCCCCTTCCTCCTTGCCACTCAAGCCACAGCTCACTGGTAGCCACCCGGCCAGCAACAATCCCCCCACCAGGCCAGTCCCACTCCTCTCCAGTCCCACCCAGGGGACCAAGCTCCATCTCCAGAGGAAGAGGTGTGGGACATCGCCAAGTCCAACAAGTGCCCGTGAAGAGCAGTATAAATTACATAACACAGGAGGAAAGCCAAAAAACTCATCCCGCACTTAACCCTTTGCATGCCACGCCCCCTCCACCTCTCACCCTTTCTCTCAACTGGGGGGCTTTTGCTCCAGCCCCAGCCTTAGCACCCGAGGGCCACCCCAAAGTGAGACACTCACCGATGGTCGTGATGACCGTGATGGCAAAGTAGAAGGAGCCGGCAAATTTCCACTGGACTCCGGCCCGGTGTGGCTCAGACTGCATGATCACCAACTCCAGCTGCCGGTAGTCCTCACTGGTGATGTTGTACTTTCCTTTGAGCCGGATCTCCTCGGCTTTGAGTTTCTCCTCCTCCCGCATCTCGTTGTCGGACTCCAGGGCATCAAAGACGGCGGCCCCGACCAGCAGGTAGGTGAACGTGCAGATGATGAGGGACAGGGTCCGCACGTTCTGCCTCTTCATGGCCGCCAG